CGTCATTAAAATGTGTCACAGCTAATTGTGACGTCATCAAGTTCAAGTTTTTATTTACCAAATGCAATACAGCATATAGGTTATACAGTTACATCACACATGGTTCATAATAAAGTACAATATACAAGATGGTGGAGGATAATTCATGTTTCACATTTAACATATAGAATTTTACTGACCCACAAGGGCTTTTCTTTTGCCAGTTGCATGCAATAAATATTTACCAAGTTTACTTAAAGTTTTGACATTTTTACATGAAATTAATTCAATCAATTTATAGACACTAGGATGTCGATAATAATATTGTGTTAAATATGTATTTCTTAACTCAGAATAAGCTGGACAAAGTAGTATAAAATGCATCTCATCTGCTACATTATTTTTGTTACAGACATTACATATTCTTTGGCCTCTTGGCACGGCATTGTTACGTCCTGACTCAATATTAAGACAGTGTGCTTGCATGCGATATTTACTCAATGATTGTTTGATACTAGAAGTTAAGGGCTTTGTTAAGTAAAATTAAATTTGAACAAGATGTTTATAAAAGTCACATTTTGAAGATATATCAAATGCACTACGTAATTCTTGAATGAATATATCATGCAAGCGTTGAGAATACAATTCCAAAAACTGACTTTCATTTTGTACATTTTGAGCAATCCATATATGGTTAAAACAAATTCTACATAAATCATTTTTAACTTGATAAATCCAGTTTAATTTACGATTTGGCTTTCTGATATGTAACTCAAATAAAGCATTATACATGTAACATGATTTTAAAACACAATTGTTAGTTTTTATCAATTTTAACCAATATTTTATGATTGTAATTTTACGCTGTACATGTAATGAATATTTGCCCGTTTCAAAATACACCAAACTATCAACGGTTTTCTTTACATTCAATACTTCTTGTAGAAAAAGAAGGTGAACATTTCTAATTTTTGGTGCTGGATAATGACCCATGCACACCTCACAACCATAATTAAGTATACATGTTACATAAGTGTCAAATAGTGATATCTTAGTTTCAGTATTTAGCATATAGTCCTTTATTCTATTCTTGAAAAGATAATAAGCTTTCCTTCCTTGAGATGCTAAAGTATTCTGAGCCATTGTAAACCTTCCGTTATAATTAAAGACTAATTCTAAATAACAAAACTGATCTACGACCTCTATGGTCCTTTCATTAAATTTCCAACTTTCATTAGGTAATATTCGTTTGCTTTTCTAAAAATAACTATTTTGGTTTTTTCACTGTTAACCGTTAAGCTCCATTTTTCAATATAATCTTGCAAACAATCTTACATATTTTGAAGATCATTAATATCTTCTGAAAATAAAACTGTGTCATCAGCATACATTATAAGAAATCGATTTAATAGTTGTAATTGATAACTCTGGCAATTAGAATTAATAAGAACGCTTTCCATATCATTAACAAATAAAGAAAACAGCATGGTCGATAAAGCCTCCCCTTGTAAAAGTCCTACATGTATATCGAACATAGCAGAAAATTTCCCGCTTAATTTTACATTTTCATAAATTGACTTAATTACATTCAGCAATCTTACCCCTAATTCCACTTCTCTATATTTTAAGCCAAAGTTTGTCACGAGCAACACAATCAAAAGCTTTACTATAATCAACAAATGCACAATAAACCCTTTTATTTTGTTGTAAAGTATTTATAATTAAACTATGTAATGCAAATTTTGCATCACGTGTACCAAGACCAGGCTTAAACCCAAGTTGGGTTTCTGTAACCACACACTCCGATTCGCTCCATTTTAGCAATCTTTTAATTAATAGATTAGTAAATAATTTAGCTACATGACTAATAAGGGTAATTCCCATCAAACGTGAATGAAGATTTGTTTGTTTGTTTGTTTGTGTTTAACGGCCCATCGACGGCTAAGGTAATTTAGTGCCATAGTGATTTATATATTTATTTATTTATTTTAATTTTAAACAAACATTGAGAGTAGTGAAGATAAAAAAGGATACAAATGTTCATTTTTAAAAGCATTCGCATTGTATGTGTAGATAATTGAAATAAAAAGGAGGTTAAAAATAAGAACACAGATATATAAATAACGCCAAAGAGGGTAAGTTGGGTTAAAAGACATCAGAGTCTATAGAATAGACCGATGTCTTTCAAATAGTTCAATAATGCCTTAGAGTCCACGGAACTGAAAAGAGTTTTCATATCCGGGACTCTAAAGTTGTTACACGAATGTGTTTAAAATCGAAACATTCTATTAAAAATATTCCACTGTAAATGGAGTATCACATGCATGGCATGAAGGTGGATCTTCTCGTTTTAAAAGGTACGAATGAATAGGATATGTGTGCCCAGTACGGAGCTGAGAGAGAGGCAACTTCCTGTCTACGATCTTTCCGATTGGGAACAGATGAGATGTTTTAAGTTTCGGCTGTACTTTAAAAAGTTTGTTGCTGGTCTCGAGAGACCAGCGTTGCTGCCATTCATTTTGAATGGCTGTATGAATAATAGGTTTAAAATTTGTATATGGTAGTTTGATATTTGTTTGGTCGAGATTTAACGTATTTTTTGGTTCCCTGTCAATACAATAAATTCGTTGTCTTTAATTCCGACATGGTGCGGAATCCATAGTAAAGTTGTTTTATTTTTTTAAGATACGAGATATTCGAAAAGCAAGGTTTTGTACCAGTGTGTTTTTAGGATCTCGTTACTGTAAACTTTGTAGGACAGATAGAGAGTCTGAACAAATGATTGCCTTTTTAATGTGGTGTTCATCGATATGGTCGAGGGCCAAACCAATGGCGCATGCTTCGGCAGAAAAGATGGAGTGCAAGAATTAGCAGTACAACAGGCTGCATATGATGAATACATTCATACCCCACATGTGTTTTTGTTTACAAACATGGCAGACTACTGTCGGTGGAGTTGTGACTGAAATAATATGATCGGAGAAAAATAATCATCCCATACCTTGAGGGTGTGACAGAAATCTTCAATCCTCCGGGCGATTTCTTTGCTTTGGTTGTCCTACCCTCGGCAGAGCCTCGGGTTAGACAAGCAAAAACAATCACCCTTCGGGAAGAAGATTTATCTGTCACACCCGCAAGGTAGGGGAAGATTCTATTACTTAACGTGTCTACAAGTAAACAGTTGACGTCATATGACCTTAGTGACTTCAGGTAAATAATTGACGTCTTATGACGATGTTGTCTTCATGTGAACAGTTGGCGTCAAATAACGATTGTGTCTACAAGTGAATAGTTCACGTCATGAGACGATGGTGTCTACAGGGTAAATAGTTGACGTCATATGGCGAAAGATTCTACAGGTAAAAAGTTGACGTCATATGACGACAGCGGGGTAAAGATTAATAGAATCTTCCCCTACCTAGAGGGCTCTATGATTATTTTTCTTCCAACCTAATTTTTCAGTCACAACTTTACCGAGAGTAATCTGTTTGTAAACAAAACCACATGTGGGGTATGCATATCGTCATTCACTTTTGATGACGTCACAATTACCGGTGACACATTTTAATGACGTCACAATTGAACACGTGCTAATCGGCACGAGGCTATCTCCCCCTAGGGGGTGACAAGCTGATCTTTCCCGGCTAAAACGGGAGACACACCTGTGAAGGCACTCGGAATTTCTCGGCCGATTCGGTCATCTACGTTGGAAGGAACTGTAATCGGGGCGAGGTGTTCCGAATGCTGTGAATGGTGGGAGCAATTCGTATCTCTCTGGTTCACAGGGATGCCAAACGTATGACAATCTATCGGCACACATAATTTACGCGCCGGTAATGGAGATATGGCGCAGCGTCCGTCTTCCGTCTGTCATCCATCAACTTTCCTTTAAAACCACTTCTACTTAAGAACCATTGAGTACGTGAAGCGTCAATATGTTGGCTAGAATTGTCTAATAATAGAAAAGGTCTAACAATGTTAGCTAGCTTGCAGGAAATATTTAAAACGTCAAAGAGTTAAAATATTTGAATTACTTCTTCAGAATAACGAAGTGGTGCTTATAACCTAGCGTTTGTTAACATGAATTTACTTGAACAACTTGTGAAATATTTTTAAATCTATAATATTTTTAAAGAACGATTATGCATGTACATGTTTCTATAATAAAATATGCATGATAATTTGTTGGAATAAAGTGTTATAGCTGTTTACTAAACATGTTTCAAAATCTTTCAATAGCTTTCAAAGATTCGTGTTACTAGATTAATTATATCTATCCTGTTACGTGCTTGTGTGAAAGGTGATCAAGTTTGTCTGAATAAATGGCCTTGACCCACTTTGGTCAGAGTGATTGATTGTGTGGAAACAAGTTTTCATGATTTGAAAAATAGGGTAGTAATATATATACCTCGTACTTCTTTGTTCAAATAAATGATCTTGACCAATGTTGAAAGGTCCATAAGTAAGATAGGTTAAACACATCTGTCAGCTGTAGAGTATTGCAGTTATTGCAGTTGAGCTTATAGGGTTAGCTTTTTGCTATCAAGTTAATTAGAACATTTTACCTTGACCTACTTTAAAGGTCTCCGATGTGAAATGTGTTTGGGAACAGCATTGAATGACATACGTTTGCGCGGAGATACAGGAGGTATAAACCCTCCTACGTGCCCTGCATCTACAAATTGTGGTTAAATGGTATGCAAGGTATACGTGTTATACATTATCGTAAACTGTACGACTGTTTCCGGGGGAAATGCTGCCTTCTCGAAATGTCAACCGTATGTGACATTTCATTTGCAGTTTAAAATACACTGACAAGTTTTTGTTTCATCGATTGATACGTACTAGAAGGAAAAGACATTTCGAGAAAACTCCGAGTCAAATTAACACAGTGCAACTTTTGAATGGATGACGAAACCTCATGTTATGAAATCGGTCGGCTTGAGCGCTTCAATAGGTAGTTATTCAATTGGTTTGAATTCAAAGACAATGACCATATTACGTGTCTGTCCACATACACAGCCAATAGACATTAAATAACGATGTCGTATTGGATCTTAGTCACCGCCTCGTTTCACGTGCTGGCTGCTGGCGGTCGGGGAAATAACGGTGTGGCCGTCCCCCGGGGCCCGGGCCGTAGGTAGTGGTGACGAATGCCCCTCATTATATCGACTATTGATTTCAGGGCCGACAGCAGATCTATCTAGCCGCCAGCATGCCGGGGCGACGCTCCATCGACAGTTCCAGGATCCTCCTCAAGACGGCAGTGCGATCGATAGAGAGACAGCCACACGACTTTATCCAACTATAAACATATGCTATTTTATCGTAACCGTATGACAAAGCAGTGTTTTGGAGCCCACTCATTCCAAAAATGATCAAGAAGGGATCGACTCTAACAACGAGCGTACTGACCTTTAGCACAACGAGTGTACTGACCTTTAGCGAGTGACATTTGGATGTGAGACAGCGGATAGAAGTGCCAGTTGATGCACCTCCAGAGGTGTGTGTAACATATACCATGTGCGGGAAGTCCACCGCTAGCGCCTGACCCCCTAACCCTCGTTATTGAGTAGGTATGTCTCGGCTGACAGATATGGACACTATTAGCCCCTTTGACCGAATGTCACCAAAGAAAAAATCTCACGGCTCCGCTATTGATATACATGTGGAATATGACCGGAAGGATTCCGCCACATCAGGAACTACATCCGCTTCCTCTCCAAGAATGAGTCCATGTTCCGTGGAATCAGGGTCACCCTATCTTCTCAGGAAAGTAAGGTATGTTCATCATTAAAAAGGTATGGTATCTCTTATATATACGATGTATAAATAGTCTACGGCGACATACATGCATAGGACACCAACCTTTATCGAATACATGTTTTTCATTGGTTGCACAAATACCTGGCCTGTCGGGGACAGATACGTAAATGTGGGCTATAGAACAGGAATACCTGTATGTGGTCTGGAAGGGATAGATACCTAACAATGCCATGTAAGGACAAAAACCTGTATGTGGCATAGAGGGGACATATACCAATAGGTGGCCTGATGTGGACATTAACATATCACAAACATATGACAACAGAGAACAGACATATGACAACAGAGAACAGACATATCACAACAGAGAACAGACATATCACAACAGAGAACAGACATATCACAACAGAGAACAGATATATCACAACAGAGAACAGACACATGACAAAGAGAACAGACATATCACAACAGAGAACAGACATATCACAACAGAGAACAGATATATCACAACCGAGAACAGACATATCACAACAGAGAACAGACATATCGCAACAGAGAACAGACATATCACAACAGAGAACAAACATATCACAACAGAGAACAGACATATCACAACAGAGGACAGACACATCACAACAGAGAACAGACATATCACAACAGAGAAAAGACAAATCACAACAGAGAGCAGACATATCACAACAGAGAACAGACATATCACAGCAGAGAACAGACATATCACAACAGAGAACAGACGTATCACAACAGAGAACAGACATATCACAACAGAAAACAGATATATCACAACAGAGAACAGACAAATCACAACAGAGAACTGATATATCACAATAGAGAACAGATATATCACAAAAGCGAACTGACATATCACAACAGAGAACAGACATATCACAATAGAGAACAGATATATCACAACCGAGAACAGACATATCACAACAGAGAACAGACATATCCCAACAGAGAACAGACATATCACAACAGAGAACAAACATATCACAACAGAGAACAGATATATCACAACAGGGAACAGACATATCACAACAGAGAACAGACATATCGCAACAGAGAACAGATATATCACAACAGAGAACAGAGATATCACAACAGAGAACAGACACATCACAACAGAGAACAGACATATCACAACAGAGACCAGACATATCACAACAGAGAACAGACATATCACAGCAGAGAACAGACATATCACAACAGAGAACAGACAAATGACAAAGAGAACAGACATATCACAACAGAGAAAAGACAAATCACAACAGAGAGCAGACATATCACAACAGAGAACAGACATATCACACCAGAGAACAGACAAATGACAAAGAGAACAGACATATCACATCAGAGAACTGACATATCACAACAGAGAACAGACATATATATCACAACAGAGAACAGACATATCACAACAGGGAACAGATATATCACAACAGAGAACAGATATATCACAACAGGGAACAGACATATCACAACAGAGAACAGACATATGACAACAGAGAACAGACATATCCCAACAGAGAACAGACATATCACAACAGAGAACAGACATATAACAACAGAGAACAGACACATGACAAAGAGAACAGACACATCACAACAGAGAACAGACATATCACAACAGAGGACAGACATATCACAACAGAAAACAGACATATCACAACAGAGAACAGACATATCGCAACAGAGAACAGACATATCACAACAGAGAACAGACTTATCACAACAGAGAACAGACATATCACAACAGAGAACGGATATATCACAACAGAGAACAGACACATGACAAAGAGAACAGACACATCACAACAGAGAACAGACATATCACAACAGAGGACAGACACATCACAACAGAGAACAGACATATCACAACAGAGGACAGACATATCACAACAGAAAACAGACATATCACAACAGAGAACAGATATATCATAACAGAGAACAGACATATCACAACAGAGAACAGACATAACACAACAGAGAACAGATATATCACAACAGAGAAGAGACATATCACAACAGAGAACAGACATATCACAACAGAGAACAGATCTATCACAACAGAGAACAGACATATCACAACAGAGAAAAGACATATCACAACAGAGAACAGACATATCACAACAGAGAACTGACATATCACAACAGAGAACTGACATATCACAACAGAGAACAGACATATGACAACAGAGAACAGACATATCCCAACAGAGAACAGATATATCACAACAGAGAACAGACACATGAAAAAGAGAACAGACATATCACAACAGAGAACAGACATATCACAACAGAAAACAGACATATCACAACAGAGAACAGACATATCACTACAGAGAACAGATATATCACAACAGAGAACAGAAATATCACAACAGAGAACAGACATATCACAACAGAGAACAGACATATAACAACAGAGAACAGACACATGACAAAGAGAACAGACATATCACAACAGAGAACAGATATATCACAACAGAGAACAGACATATCACAACAGAAAACAGACATATCACAACAGAGAACAGACATATCACAACAGAGAACAAACATATCACAACAGAGAACAGACATATCACAACAGAGAACAGATATATCACAACAGAGAACAGAAATATCACAACAGAGAACTGACATATCACAATAGAGAACAGATATATCACAACAGAGAACAGACATATCACAATAGAGAACAGATATATAACAACAGAGAACAGACACATGACAAAGAGAACAGACATATCACAACAGAGAACAGACATATCACAACAGAGTGTTTTACCCTGACAGTATCAAACTAAGACATTTACAATGTTTGACCAGTACAGTATCACACTAAGACATTTATAGTATTTGACCAATACAATATCACACTAGGATATTTATAGTGTTTAACCAGTACAGTATCACACTAGGACATTTATAGTGTTTGACCAGTACAGTATCATACTAAGATATTTAGAGTGTTTGACCAGTCCAGTATCACACTAAGACATTTAGAGTGTTTGACCGGTACAGTATCACACTAAGATATTTAGAGTGTTTGACCAGTACAGTATCACACTTAGACATTTATAGTGTTTGACCAGTACAGTATCACACTAAGATATTTAGACTATTTACACTAAGACATTTATAGTATTTGACCAGTACTGTATCACACTAAGACATTTAGAGTGTTTGTCCAGTACAGTATAACACTAAGACATGTATAATGTTTGACCAGTACAGTATAACACTACGACATTTATAGTGTTTGACAAGTACTGTATCACACTAAGTCATGTATAGTGTTTGACCAGTCCAGTATCACACTAAGACATTTAGATTGTTTGACCAGTACATTATCACACTACGACATTTAGAATGTTTGACCAGTACAGTATTACACTACGACATTTATAGTGTTTGACAAGTACTGTATCACACTAAGTCATGTATAGTGTTTGACCAGTCCAGTATCACACTAAGACATTTAGATTGTTTGACCAGTACAGTATCAGGCTAAGACATTTATACTGTTTGACCAATACAGTATCACACTCAGACATTTAGAGTGTTTGTCCAGTACAGTATCACACTAAGACATTTATAGCGTTTGACCAGTACAGTATCACACTAAGATATTTGGCGTGTTTGACAAGTACAGTATCACACTAAGATATTTAGACTATTTGACCAGTACAGTATCACACTAAGACATTTAGAGGGTTTGACCGGTACAGTATCACACTAAGATATTTAGAGTGTTTGACCAGTCCAGTTTCACACTAAGACATTTAGAGTGTTAGTCCAGTACTGTATCACACTAAGACATTTATAGTGTTTGACCAATACTGTATCACACTAAGACATTTAGAGTGTTTGACCGGTACAGTATCACACTAAGATATTTAGAGTGTTTGACCAGTCCAGTTTCACACTAAGACATTTAGAGTGTTTGACCAATACAATATTACACTAAGACATTAAGAGTGTTTGTCCAGTACAGTATAACACTAAGACATTTATAATGTTTGACCAGTACAGTATCACACTACGACATTTATAGTGTTTGACAAGTACTGTATCACACTAAGTCATGTATAGTGTTTGACCAGTACAGTATCACACTAAGACATTTATAATGTTTGACCAGTACAGTATCACACTACGACATTTATAGTGTTTGAGAAGTACTGTATCACACTAAGTCATGTATAGTGTTTGACCAATACAGTATCACACTAAGACATTTATAGTATTTGACAAATACAGTATCACGCTAAGAAATTTAGAGTGTTTGACCAGTACAGTATCACACTAAGACGTTTAGAGTGTTTTTCCCTGACAGTATCAATCTAAAACATTTAGAATATTTGACCAGTACAGTATCACACTAACACATTTAGAGTGTTTGACCAATACAGTATCACACTAAGACATTTATAGTGTTTGACCAATACAGTATCACACTAAGACATTTATAGTATTTGACAAATACAGTATCACGCTAAGAAATTTAGAGTGTTTGACCAGTACAGTATCACACTAAGACATTTAGAGTGTTTGACCAGTACAGTATCACACTAAGACATTGATAGTAATTGTCCAGTACAGTATCACGCTTAGACATTTATAGTGTTTGACAAGTACAGTATCACACTAAGACATTTATAGTGTTTGACTAGTACGGTATCACACGAAGACATTATAGTGCTTGATCAGTAATGTATCACACAAAGATATTTACAGTGTTTGACCAATACAGTATCACACTAAGACATTTATAGTGTTTGACCAGTACTGTATCACACTAGGACATTTATAGTGTTTGACCAGTACAGTATCACACTAAGATATTTAGAGTGTTTGACCAGTACAGTATCACACTAAGATATTAAGAGTGTTTGACCAGTACATTATCACACTAAGACATTTATAGTGTTTGACCAGTACAGTATCACACTAAGACATTTATAGTGTTTGACAAGTTCTGTATCACACTA